TGGGCGTCTTGTGAGAAAACGACGAGTTTATCGACACTCCATCGATGCCAGCTTACTTGTTGCTTGTACCTTTTGATCCACGGCGAATCAAGGTTAACATCGAATCTGATATCCAAGTAGAATAGAATGAATTTGTCGTCGAATTAGACATCGGTTAGCGTTTATACATTACCCTTCTCTATGTCGCATTACTGTTAGGAAGATCCTGTCGCGAGATGCATTGTCATTTTCGTTTAAGGTATCTCTAGATCGATATATTTGATTTTGCTACTGTCTGGCGACTGGCGTCGTTCAAAGTTGTTCAACGCCCACCATCGACAAGGGCTCGTGGTGACATGTCCTTTACCACTTCGGGTTTTGAGTAATAAGAAAAAGCTCATTAACGGATGCAAAAACACCTAAGGATCGCGTATTAGGAGCAACTCTGGTCAAGAGGCCTAAGAAAATTCATTCGACCGTTTTGGAATATAGGTTGCTCCGCACCTGACCACATTCTGGTTGTACATTACGGTGTTTCGTTTTCGCAACCGTGTCGGATCCACGCCCCGGACCCTTCTTGGCCACTTGATGGCTACTATTCTCTTCAGTACGTTGTATAATACTTAAATCACTGCATCCTATGAACTATGTCCTAGCCTCTTACACTGTTTCATGTCTGTAAATTTTTAAAGTTGTAACGCGAGAGACTTCCCTCTAAGCGTAACAGATATGCATTATTTATGGGCCTCTGCTTTCACGCCGCATTGGGGTACGATATCATGTGGGCTCACGTAACTTTTATCACGCTAGAATTTTCAAGTCATACAACTCGGAAGAGCTCATTCAGGGTATCAAATTACAACCGGAAGAGACAGGTCATAATTGAACTGCCTGTGAGACCCTGCATGAACAACGTGATCGTCGTTTGTGTATTCCGCGAATTGGACGAGACACCTTTCGAAGGATAAGTACGTACTGAATGTACGAGTTTAAATCACGTTTGGCCAATTTTCAGCAGTTGCAAGCCCTAATCTCAGCTCGCAACGGTTCGAAGGTTAGCCTAAGCAGGGACTTAAGCCACATCACGATACAACGACAAATGATTTGTTTGGCTCTAAATACAAGACCCAAGTCTTCGCACACACAGCCAAGTTCAATATAGCAAATGCTACCCTCATTTTCTCATCGCAATGTGACGAACCGTTATCTTGTCATCTAGTTTTAAAATGATTTTAGCAGATAGTTATCCTCAGCTGCTTCATATTAAAAAATGTCAATCTTTAGTAATTTAGGTCAACGTGTGTGAGCCTGCCGCTAGCAGTAGCCTGCTTCTGCCTCAAACAGCTCGAACTTCTGAGCACTCTGTCCTCTTAACAGCTTTGTCGGTTGAGACCCTTTTTTGTGAAGCAAGACTGCGTTACTCCGTTCAGCATCAAATTAATTCTTTAATGAACTTGGCAGTGGTGGCATGTTGCCTATCTGCTCCCAATGCGGACAGCATTGCATCTCCGTCTTCTTGTTCTATCGTAGAGCTCAAACGTTCTACGGCATAGCATCTGATTCGACTAAAATTGGAGTAGCTCTATTGCGTTGATTAGAAGTCTTACGCTTTATCATTCAGCATGTTAATAGTCGTTGGACGGACTAAAAGTGCTGTCAGGTGTAACGAGGCACTGGTTCCTTGTACTGTCACCGTAAAAGCTACTTTTACTGAACACGGAGTAAGGTGGTGTTACGATACTTTAAGTACACGCTTCATGCAGATGAAGGGTACATTTTGAGAAAAGGGTAAAGTACAATTGTATTTAGTATAGTTAATCTCCCTTAAATTAATCAGAATTAGTCTGTTTAATTACATCTAAATAAAACATTTGTTGTAGCTATCTGCTCACCACTCGTTGCGTTCTTTTGTCGTGGCTTTTTTAGTTACTATCATAAATGTACATCAACGAATGAGAATTGTACAGCTTCTGTAACGCAATGTTTTTTTTAGCCAAAATTTTAAGAATGTTATGTTTGCCTTAAGAAGATATTAGTACGTGATGTATAGCTTGAATAAACTATCATGTAACAGAGGCAACCCATTACATGTACCTTACGTGTACTAAGCGTGATCAAATCTATTACTTTCTCATAGCTGTTTATAGATATTCAACGAGACTCTTAGGCTAGGTCACTATCGTGACGCACGCACGTGGTTGAATTAAAATTGATCAAAAATGAACGTAATCACAAATGCATTTGCTTGAAGCTCACAAGAAAAGGCCTGTCACATTGCCTAAATATTCTGTCCTAGTAAAATGCAGACAGTATCATCATCGTACTCTTTTTTTATAGTGAGTGCTGTTGCATAATATTTCGCAACATGATTAAGTTCTATGAACTGTATTACTTATACCGGAATAAGAGCTCCATAGCTTGCCCTTCTATCTTCACATAGAGTCTCGCACGCAACTTCCTTCGTTATAGATCCGCGAGCCTCGGCAAACGTACTTTTTTCTAGGCTCAAGCACTATTATTTGTCCGCACCAATGCCATAGTCGGGCCTTTGCCGTGTTCGAGCTAAATGACGCTAACATTTAACGGAAAGTATGTACTACCTTGTCCTACTACGCAAATACGATCTTACGACAAGTGATGGTCCAAAGTTAAATGACATTTCTGTCGAATAGCTGATTTAAAGAAAACGGTATGTAATCGGTACTAGTCTAGTCAAAACGAAACTTTTTCGTAGTTCTCCCGTCGATTTAAAAACCAAAAACGCCATCTGTTGGTCCCATCGCGTGTTCGTGTATTTTCCATCCGTAGTCTACTAATCTCATGTGTGAGAAACCTATTCTTGCGATTATCCATTGTGTTATCCGACGATACAATTTAAACAAAATCCCTGTCAATTTGTCTATTTGTGTTGTTTCTCCCTAAATTCTATTATAAGGACCGAGTCCGCCCTACCAGTCGCTCCAAAATATCCAACTATCTCCCACTTTTATTCGTACTAAGAGCGTCTTTGGCTGTGAGAATAGCTTAATCGTTCGTGTATTAGTGAGAGAACACTCTCACATTCTCTGAAACTTTTACTCCAAAAACTTCACAGCAATCAGTGTAACTATACAGAAATGGATTTTTTCTGCTTAACGTAACTGGTAAAGTTGTGGTCGCCTTAATTTGTTTTATAGGTCCTCAAAGAGGCTCAACTGTGTGATGCAGCTAGTGACATTTTGGACCACGTCGCCAAACTCAAATTATTGTTTTTTCAATCAAATGGAGCCAATGACATGCCACTAATCTTCGCCAATGACATGCAACTAATCTTCGCCAATGACCAGATAGATCTCAAAACCCTGAGCCAGTGACGTGCAGCCAAAACAATTGTCTTGGGTGTCACAGACTACAAAACGTAGGCGGAAACGATAGAACAACAATTGTTCGAGTGATCCCCGAGCTACTTCGCTGCCGTGTGCCGTTTTATGAGTGCAATAGATTTTCCTGTATTTAATATGACTTGGAGCCCCAAATCTTGATTAATCTAAAAAAAAATTAATTTTCAGAGAGTTAATAGGGATGGTTTAAAGCGAAGGATGCTACACGTGCTAGCAAGGAGGACGATAGCGTGGCCCCAACAACCTTCTCTCTTCGGAATAAAGCTGCTGAAAAGATAACAATCTACCAATTAGCGCCAGCCGTTTTGATGGTAGATAGGTGCTTAACGTGCACGGAATAGATGACTGGAAGAGAGCGATAGCTAGCAAGGAAGGATAGAGCGAGCAAGTAAAAGGCAAGAGGCAGAAACTTACCAACCTCCTACTGCGTCAAAAAAAACATTTGCTAGAGGTTTTAAGCCCAATAGTTGAAGCCACAGACGCAACTACGAAGACGTCAGGTGGCGTCGCGCGACCCGCGCTTCGACGCGGATCGCCAGCGCGGGTCCCACCGATGGTTCAAGCGCCCGCAGTTGTCGAAGTCTCGCCCGCTCGCGAAAGGAGCGAGGCTACTGACGATAATATCTTCACCATCCTCGTCGGCTTGACGGAGCGCCTAGCGAAGCTTGAGTCGTCGCAGCGCGTCCGCGACGAAGACGAAATGATTTCGGCGCTGTTAAAAATTGCATTTTCACTTCCGCCCTTGGCGCAAAATGCGCGATCGACCAATGACCATCGACGTGTTGTGGTCGCCGGAGCAGAAGCCAGCAGCTTTCCCGGCGCGAGCACCAGCGCCGGACGATGGCGTGTCGATGTTTGTGTCCCTGGCACCACCGTGCGGATAAGCGCCACCCGAGCTACTAGTACCATTGCAAGCAGCACCATCATCAGGACCCAGCAGCAAGCAGGAAGGATGAACTACATCTCGTCACCAACTGCGAGCCAGCAACAGTTGCCGATCCGAAAATTCGACGGGACCGAGCTCTGCCTAGGGCTGGGTAGTGGTTTTTTCGACTGGGGACGTACGTTCTTGCGAGCGATCAAGTTCGCCGAGTCTTCATAAGGTTTCCTCTGGTCAAAAGACATGAAGGTCGACCTGCTAGGTCAATTTACGTCGGGGACAGCGAAATTTTACTACCACAAGCAAGTGGGCACGTGATGGTTGCAACAACCGATGCTCGACTAAGGCATGTGTCAGATGCTAACGACGTTTAAAAAACAATTTATGGCTATCCAAGTGATGAAGCTCTTCATGATAAATAAAGAGGCAAAGCCAATTTGGTAGGAGCCTTTCCTCGACATGGTCGGCGTAAGCGACGCGCGCGGTTGAGCGGACTCGCTCGTCCTGGACAACATCGTCCATCACGCGTCGCCCGAGCTCATAAACTTGATTAGGGCCAAGTGCAACCCCACACGATCCGACTACCTGTGGCACACGAAGGAGCTAGCGCAGTTCGCGCAGTCGTCGCAACGCACATTGACGCGCGATCGTAGGACCAAACCTGCTTTAGTTGCGAAAAGGTCGGGCACGTGCAGCAAAACTGCCGCGCTAAGGACGCTGCGGTGGACGAGGAGCAGGGTGAAAGCAGTTCGAGGCGCGAGATGCTGCTCGCGCTGACTGAGATGCCCAACAAAGGCGCAGGAGGCAGCAGATCGCAGCCCGCGCCGACAAAGCAGTATGACCAAGATAGAGGGGCCATCGAATCGCAATCTACACGAAGCAAAAAGCTTGCGCGCTCGAGGAGGCGAAGCCGCGGTAAGAAGACGAGCGAGTTTGTGTTCGCGATTGGCGACGCCGACGCCGCCAATACCATTCGAAGAGGCTGGATCCTCGACAGTGGTACTAGCCGCTACTTCAATATTTTCACGAAGCAGCTGGTCGAGTCGAGACCGTGCAACGACGAGATTGCCTGCGGTCGGCGTGTCGCTCCAGCTTACGAAATGCGGCAGAGTGCGACTGAACATCATCGCGAACGGCGCAGCGGCAACCGTGACGCTAATCAACATCTACCTGGCGCCGAGCCTGCCAAAGCATATCGCATTCTACGGAAAACTAAAGCGTAAAGGTTCGCGCTCGTGCGTGATGAAGAGAAGTGCTCGATCGCCCGGCACAGTGACGGCGCTGTCGCTTTTGAAGTGGCAATGGAATAAATCGTGTTGTACGTGCAGACCATGACAACTAAGCGACACGTGAGAGCTAGCGGCTCCATTATGGCGGCAGTTGAGTCAGGCGCAGCCGGGGACGTTGCAACCGACGTCTAAGAGGGCATCCTGCGTCAAAAACCAGTGGTCCGTGGAATTGGCATTTGACACCATCGAGCGGATGGCGCGCGACCCGGCATCCGGCATACGTCTCACGAGCCACAGGCGCATGGCGTGCGTGTCTTGCGTGGAGGTAAAGCAGACGCGCAACGCGCAGTTGCAGCGATGCAGCGGCGAGAACGCGCCGATAGAACGCATCGGCGGCGTGATCTATTTAGACCTGAAAAACCGATGACACCTCAAGACCCATTCAAGAATCGATGTTTAATCAACGAAGTCGATCACAAGAGCAACTACTGCAGGATTATCCTCGCGTGGACGAAGTACGCCGCAACGAAGAAATTCGAGGCGTTCCTGACTCACTTTCAGAAGAGAATTGACTGTAGGACCACGTGCACGCACCGACGGCGGCGGCGAGTGCGCCGACGTGGAACTTTTCTGCAAGCGCACCAGAATAGCGCGGCAGATGTTGGAGGCAAGGAATTACGCGTCGAGAGGGAAGGCGGTGCATATGCACTGCTCAAATCTAAACCTCGCGCGAAGCATGATGTTCGCGTGCGCGCTGCCGCTCAACTTCTAAGTCGACGCTGTGTTGCATGCGGTGTACGTGCTTAGCACGATCCCGACGCGCTCAAAACGAGTTGTGTGTCGCCGCTCAAAATGCTGACGAGAACCGCGCCTGAATTGCTGCAGATATTCTTCTACGGGTAGCAATGCTACGTCTACCCCGACCCTCGCAAGAAATTGGTGGCGCAGCGATCGCAGATCGGGACTATCATCGGGATTAGCGACGAGGCTAGAGGGTACATGGTCTGGATGAGCAAAGCAGGCAAGGTAAGCGTCCCCCAGCACGTCAAAGGAATCGACATGCTGAATGAGACTCAGAACGTGCAGCTGCATGGTGCAATGGGAAGCAAAGACTGAGCCGACGCTGCGGAGGAGACAGCGCCAGAGCTAGATGCGCTAGCGGTGTCGAGATACGTAATTACCAAGGCGAAGAATCCATGAGCCCGACGCGCACACGGCACGCGCGGCGCGACAAAGCGCGCGCAAGCAGCATTCATTCAGGAGGAGCCAGAAGCTGGCGAGGACGTCGTGAGTGCGGCGTTTAAACGTGACTTGCAGAACTAAGTCGAGGCCATGCGAAGCACAATCGAAACGGCTAGGTAAAAGAGATGAAAAATGTTTGCGTCTCTGCAGGATAACGACGTATGGAAAATCATGCGACGAGCGCCAGGTTGTAACGCTCTGCATACTAAATGGGTGCATAAAACGAAGATAACTGTCAATGCTATTCTGTAGCGGCTCAAGGCGCAACTCAGGGCCTGTGGAAATTATCAAGTGCTCGGAGTCGACTACGGACTCACGTTCGCAGCAGTGATGGACTTCTTGACCGTAAAGTTTTTCCTCGCGCTTGCTGATACGTGGGGGGTGCCTCCAATCTGCCAATCATGCTCAACGCATACGAACACATACGTCAAGGCGGACAAAGAGGCGCTCGTGCAACTGACCGCTCCGCGACAGCTGCCGTTTTGTGTCTGGTGCGACGCTACGAAAACACTGCAAGCTTGAAAGAGCTCGTGCCTGAGCTCCGGAAGAGCCTGTACGGTCTCAAGCAAGCCAGGCGGATATGGACCCAGCTGCTCCACACCAAGCTATCGGCCGTGGGTTTTCGGCGCTTCGAGAGCGACATGTGCCTCTAATCATAACGCGAAGGGACAAATCTAGTGTTCGGAGTATACGTAAATGACATCCTCGCAACCGGGACGACTGCCACTGCGTTCGACCACTTCTTCGTCAGCCTTGCATCGCTATCAATTATGGATCTGAGCCAAGTAAGAAAGCTCCTTGGGATGTGCGTAAAGTTAAGCGACGACGAAGGACATCGCCTGGACCAGAAGGAGACAATTGGCTACCTCCTGCGGAACAACGGGATAATAGACGCAAATGCGACGCTGAGACCGATCGGAGATGATAGCAACGACGAGCAGCCAAGCATCGCGGAGAACCTATGATCAGCGAATGCGCCTCCAGGACCACGGTGCGCGAAATTTAGTCGCTGGATGGGTCGCTCGTTTAGTTCGCGCGCTATATGCGCCCGGACATTGCCTTGGCCGTCCATAAGGTGACACGGCAGACGCACGTTCCGCGCGCGCTTGACTGGAGTTTGGCGAAGCGCATCGCGTGCTATCTCAAGGGGACTGCAACGCTAAATATTACAATGAAGCTTTCCCGAGGTGACATCGCAGCGCCGCGACTTGACGCGTTCAGTGACGCCGACTTTGCGGGCGACAGGGCAGACAAAAAGTCGGTGACGGGCGGCATGCTTCTACTGAATGGTATGCCGGTAAGCTGGGGCGCGCGCAAGCAGGGTTGCTATCGACGATGGATGCGGATTTTCTGGTCACCAGCGAGATTGCGCGGGAAATGCAAGAGGTGCGAGAGAGGCTAATGGAGATCAGGCTTGCGCCAGCGCTGCCCATGCAAATGCAAGTCGACAACCATGCGGCTACAAGCCAGATCGCTGATGAAATGTCGTCGCTAAGGCAAAGCACGTGGACATCCGCCACAAGTTCTTATGCGATTTCGCTCGACGTGGAATTTTTTGAAGCGCGCTACGTCAGGTCCGAGAAGATGCTCGCGGACCTGCTCAAGAAGGCACTGAATTGGAGTAAGCCTAAGACGTCGCGCGAGCTTATGTAGATCGGGTAGAAGATGGATGACGTTGCAGGATGAAGGAGAGAGTTGAGAGAGCAAAGGCGCAATCGGGGAGAAGTGTTGGAAAGATGACATTCTGGCGATTGGCGCCAGCCGTTTTGCTGGTATATAGGTGCAGAACGTGCACGAAATAAATGACTGGAGGAGAACAATCGCTAGTAAGGCAGGAGATATCGAGCAAGTCAAAGGCAATAGACAGATTTTTTTTTAACCTCTTACTGCGTCAACAAACCTATGCTTTAGCTGCATCGATGCTTGTAAAGCTCAAGACTTTCTGGATGCGGCAGGAGACTGGAGAGGAGGTTCTTAGAGTCGATTAAGAAGATGCAGGATTAGGTGGAGAACCTTCAGCATAAATCCCTCAAGCAACAACTCTGGGCAGTTTTTTAGCGGTCCCCGGCAGTATTCATTTATTGTATAGCGGAAATTTCTCTGGCTTTAATAATAAAAATTCAGGGATCCATTTACTTTTTGGCCAGGGCCCAACATGGGACTCGACATCTTTTTATGTGAGGAAAATATTAACTTAGAGATAACAAATTACGGAGACTCTACTGTATAACTGAATAAATTTTTTGATTGGACAGGAAATAAGTTATACTGACTGCTGTAGACGCTCTAACCTGTCGCCATTATTCCGTCAAAGCAGCCGCGAACCTCGCTTGTTTATCCCTCGCTCGCCTCGCTTCTCCCGCTCTCTTCCCCGCCTGACGAGATACTATCAATTCGTGATGCTTGTATTTTACTTGTGCAACGGTAGTTGGATGTAAAAGTAGAATCTGTGTAGCAGTAATCATCTCCTGTTATTATTACTACAAAATGCATTGCAACTGCACTGCAACTTGACCATGTACCTGCCTGATGGTGTCCGTCTTTCCTCCTTTTCTTGTACGTCAGTCACACGTTGAAAAAGAATCGTCTTGTGCCAACCGTCATGTTGTCAGCTCGCTGTCCCATCTGTCAAGTCATCGCCCTGTCTCTTCCTGTCCCATCTGTCCGATCGTCTCCTCGTGATCCCACAAGTCATCTGGTCTGACCTCGGCCAATCGGGTAAGACCTTCACATGGTGTACGCCTTGAACCTGAAAACTGCCAGACGTGACAGTTACTAATACTTAAACTCAGTGTCAGTCTTTGCGGCCTTCAACTCAAACATTGTTCCCATTTTTTCCATCCTTGGCGCCGGTAGCGCTTTTGCCAGTGTGTCCGCCACCATGTCCTGTGACTTGACAAATCTCGGGACCACAAATTTTGCTTTCGGATTATGGCAGATAAATTTGAACCGCGTATCCACGTGCTTGGCGCTTGACCTACTCTTTCCGGCGAAAGAAGCTTTGTAGCTGCTTAATCGTCGATCCACATTGGCGTGGGCGTACGCACACGCAACTGAAGTTCGTTTAGCAGCTTCATCGTGCCTAGAAGCTCTCGTCCGGCCTGCGACGCTGAGATGATTCAGCCTTCATCGTCCTCAGCAATACCCCTATGACTTATTGCGCAACCGTAGCACAACAGCACCATCCATATTTAGTACATACCCCAACACGGACTTACGGTCAACCTTGTCGGCAGCAAAATATGCGTCGCTACAAGACCCGATCCGCACGTCCTCCGCTGTTTGTTCAACAGTATTTAGTTGCAAGTTTTTGTCCTTCGGAATCTCCAAGAATTTTATATTACGCATGACTGTCTTTCAGTCCTTGGACGTAGGCTTGTGCGTATGCCTCGTGGCCTTGTGCTATGTAAAGCTTGTCTGGAGGTGTAAATTCTGCAATCTATAGCAAACTTCCCACCAGCGACTGAAACGACTTCACGCTTGGTTCACCGCTTGCGCTTCTCGCAGGAAGGAAGTCCAGATCAATCTAACCTTCCACATTGTACTCGTTATCATTCGGAGTCTGCACTCCGTTTGCTGACCCCATCCCAAACCCCTTAAGCAACAGGTCGATCGTGACCTCTTGATCTAGAAATCATTCATTTGAGTAGTCCAATTAAATTTTTAATTCAAGAAACTTGTTCACGACCCCGCGTTCCTGTTTAGAAAAAAACTCATCTCAGAAAAAACTTGGTCGCAGCGCTTTGATCGATGCCTGTGACCAAAAGATAATCCACGTAGACACCGATCACTGTACATGTATCGCCCTTGAACTTGTAGTACAGGCACATGTCCGTCGTGCATTGCTGACTACACCTGGTCGCAGCTAAATAAAGCATCTAATTCCAAGATGCTTAACCTGCTTCAGTCCAAGAAGTTATTTTAAACAGCAGTGCCGCATCACTTGGCGACCTTGCCCCCTGGCTGTCTAGCTCTTTTTTCAAAAGTCATTCGTTTTGGCACCTTTAAGTAATTTTTTAGAGGCTCCTCCTTTGCCGCTTTGACATACACATTAGGTAAGTCACCATGGTATGCTGTGACATTCCATCGTCTAGAGAGCACCAGGATCAACTTCAGGGTTCCCAAGTCCTGACAACCGTGAGCGCTAGAGGATAATCCACTCCAAAGACTCGATCGCTTCCACAAACAACCAGACGAGTCTTGTACCGCTCTATGTCTCCTTTGGCATCGGTCTTGGTCTTGTAAACTCACTTGTTGTGTAGAACGTTCGCACCTATAGGTGGCACCACAATTTCCCAAGCGTCATTCGATTTCAAGGCGTCTAGTTCTTCTGTAACGGGGTTGCACGAGATCATGGTACTTTGTACCAGAGGTGTTACACACCTGAGGGTTCGCTTCTGTGAAGGTGATATAGAATATCTTATCGGTTTGTAGGGGCTGACGAGTGTCAGCCATTAGATACGAAAGATCTTTGAGTAGGATTAAGATATTCTATAGGCTTTAACAAAAATAAAATCAGTTCCCATTTTGATCTGAAAGACACGTGGCTTGCGAGCCGTCTTGATCGTTGATCTCTGATAACTAAGAGTTAGCGACACCTCCTTGAGGTAGCTACTCTTGAGCACTAAGTGCTGTCGATTCACTGAATCGTTAGGTCCCCTGGAACAGGGATCTGAAGCTACAAAGCTTGTTGACTCGTAAAGTCGTTAGTTCTTTCGAACTAAGTTGCTCGTAGAGCGTTAAGTCTTCCTCTGACTTAAGGAGCTGAGTAGCTCCGCTACACTTGGTAGCACTTGTAGTCAATTTACGCCTGAGTCTTTAAGACTGATCCTCTGTGAGGATGGAAAACATCACTCCCCTATCTGAGGCCCAAAAGGTCGCGCTTGATATGCTGACCGCATCTTTGGGTCCAGAGTACGTGGAGTTCCTTGTTTTACAAGGTCCTGAAGTGCTTAATGCACGTGTTGAAAGCTTTATGCAGTATGAAGCGACCCTTTCAGGGCAGGTCCAAGACCAAATAGCGTCGGCTATGCCTACACGCTACGTGTCTGTACCAGACGAAGAGGCTAAGCCTCGTCCACTTAGAGTAAAGTAAAAAACTACTCCGGTAAGGAGGGCGAGAACCTCATCCTCTGGATCCGTGAGATCGAGATGGCCATGAGATCAGGCCTGATCACGCTTGACCATCAACAGGTCTCGCTGGCTATCTCGAAGCTCGATGGTAGAGCTAGAGAATGGGCCTTGACGTGTAGCACGTCGGTGGACATAGCGTTTCCCACATGGGAGTCGCTCAAGTCACAATTGGTACAGGTATTCTCACCACCTAACCAGGCTTACCGCGTGCGTTCACTCTTTCTTTCTACCCGCCAGGGTAAAATCAATTATAGGACTATGTCCAAGAGCTGCGAACGCTCATGGCTGAAATGCAGTCTGACCCTTTGCCTGAAGAAGTCCATGTGACTATCTTCATGGAAGGTCTACGTACTGGCATTGCCAGAACCGAAGTTTTTCGGGTTCACCCCTCTACGTTTGAAGAGGCTGTGAGAATTGCTCTTAATGCTGAGCATAACTTCAAGTCGGCCAGACTTGGTTGGAACGGATACAATCCTCGCTCTGTGAGAGCAAACTATTCGGGTACCACTGCCTATAATAGGCCGGAACCGATGGATCTCAGCTATGTTGAAGATGGAGGTGAAGCTGAGCTTCAAGCTGCTGAGCAGAAACACGTTGTAAGACGATGCTTTACGTGCGGAAGCACTAAACACTTGCGGCCTGGTTGCCCTTTGCGTAAGCAACGTCAGACTACGAGCCAACACTCGAGCCCGAGTCAGAAGTCTGGCATGGCACGGGGAAATGCCGACACCCAGTAGGCGCGGGGTGCCCTACTGGGGAAGAACTAAGTTCTGTTGAACCTCTAGAAGGTAAAGGAATGCAGGGCTTAGCCCCAAAGAGTACCATACCTACGGGTATGGTGCGTGGATACAAGTCTGGCTTGTTGGTCGCCGAGGCGAAAATTAAGGGCTTCGAGAAGCCTTGGTCGATATTGATCGATTCTGGAGCGTCTTGCAATTATGCTCGACGCCGTTCCCTTGAGGGAAGTCAGCGTTATGCTGAGGCGCTTACAGCGCGTAAGGGTGATTTTATCACGGTTCGTTTAGCGACTGGAAGTCGCGTAACGGTGCCTAAAGTTCCATTGAACTTAGGTATAAAGTTTTTAGACTTTGACAGTATTGAGCGCTGTCTTGTCCTAGATTTGGACTCGAGATATGATCTCATCCTAGGTATGGCTTGGCTTGAGCGCCATGAGCCATGGATTGATTGTAGGTCTAAGACCTTAGGCGCTACGCGCAATGTTCCTAGCGAAGCTTTGGAGAGTCATGAACCCACCTTTTCGAGGCAGCAGAAGCGCTATTGGCGCGAGCCTTTGACAGAAGATGTCAATGTGCTGGATATTGGAATGTACGAGTTATCTAACTCCAATGTTAAAAAACATAAGTTTCGAGCCTAGCTCGTCTAAAACTAGTGAAACGGCACGTACTACGTTGAGTGGTAGTCGTTGTGATAACGAGTCACTGCACGCTGAAAGCATGGTTGGCCTAGGGCCGAGTAATCAAGGACGTGATTCCTTTGATGTGTGTATGGTGGCACGTGAAATTACACCGAGTGCGGTCGGCCGTGAGAGCACCGCACTGAATGTCGGTAATGACATTTTTGGCCATATGCCATTTAGTGTGGGCGGCCGTGAGGGCACCACGCTTAACGCCGGTAATGGCGTTGTTGGCGATTCGCCATATGGTGTGGGCGGCCGTGAGGGCACCACACCTAATGTCAGTAATGATATTGTTGGCGATACACCGCATAGAGTGGACGGCCGTGAGGGCACCACGCTTAACGCCGGTAATGGCGTTGTTGGCGATACGCCGTATAGTGTGGACGGCCGTGAGGGCACCACACTTAATGTCGGTCAAGACAAAAGCTCTCGTATCGAGCGTACTATGGTTGGTAGTAACCATGGGGACAATATTGTCCCGACCCCTAAGGGGAGTAAGGTCTCGAAGAGACAATCGAGACGCCGAGTAGCAGCTGTAAAGCGCCAGGCGTCCTCACAGTCACATAGTGATAATAGTAATACACTATATACACTTGTTAATGGAGTGAATGGTCAGGTTAATGGCAACGTGAGCCTCGAAACCCTTCCATCTGTGGAGGCTCTGTGTGAGCTAGACGAAATGTCTGATGGCGAGTTAAGCCAGGCCTTGAAGGAAGGAGAGTTATCCGAGTTAGCAATCATTAGACCTGATACTGACTTAAATTCTTCCTCGTTAATGGATGAGTCTGTCCTAGAGGATACAAAGGCGGCACTTAGTGCACTAAGTGGATCTTCGATCTTTAAAGATCCTTTGGATGCGTTCTATCCTTTAGTTAAGGAATTTCAAGATGTGGTGTGTCACAACCCACCTTCTGCCTTACCTCCCGATAGAGGTGTACGTCATGAGATTGACTTAGTTCCTGGAACTAAATACTGTGTAACACGGCAGTGGCCTTTGCCTAAAGAACAGTGCGACGTCATTGACGATTTCTTTCGTGCTAAGCACGCGGCTGGAATGGTTCGTGAGAGTAAATCTCCCCATTCAACACCGACATTTTGTGTCAAAAAGCCAAATGGCAAGTGGCGTATTGTGCATGCTTACAATATGCTTAATGCAGCCACTATACCGGCGCAGACGCCTATTCCTAGAAAGGATGTTCTTTAGAACAATATGGCGGGATGTACACTGTACAGTGCACTCGACTTAGTCGATGGTTATTACCAACTGCTCATGCGAGCAAGCGATATTCCGCTAACAGCGGTGAGTACTCCGAGGGGCATGCTTTGGGAGTGGCTCGTTATGCCACAAGGGCTATCTAACGCCCCGGCTACATTTAACCGGTTGGTAACGCAGCTATTCAGACCTCATCGAGGCTATGCACAAACGTACTTTGATGACATTTTAGTCCATAGTCGTGCAATGAATGGGCGATCAGATGTGGATAACCATATCGATCATTTACGAGCGGTTCTCGAGTGTATGCGAACTAATAAGTTGTATGCGAACGCATCGAAGTGCATCTTTGGTGCAAAAGAGATTCCCTTTCTAGGGTGCTTTATTGGGAAGCGAGGCCTTCGAGCGGATCCCGCTAAGGTAAAAGTCATAGTCGATTGGCCAGTCCCCAAGAACCAAAAGGACTTGCATAAGTGGTTTGGCCTTGCCAATTACTTACATAAGTACAGTGCAAATTACGCAGATATGGCTCGGCCATTGTCCAATCTCCTTAAAAAGGATGTGGGTTGGTGTTGGGGTAATAACCAACTGGATGCTTATGAAGCAGTTAAGGAGAGTCTCCTTCATGCGCCAATATTGGCTTTGCCCGATTCTGGTCGGCCTTTCAGTGTCGTCTGTGACGCATCTGACTTTGCCATAGGCAGTGCTCTGTTACAAACAGATGTCGACGGACGCGAACGCGTCATCGCATTTGAATCTCGACAGCTGAAAGCTGCTGAAAAGAACGATCCTGTTCGTGACAAAGACTACTTGCTATGATGTACGCTCTTGCAAAATTCAGAGTCCATCTGCTTGGCTCGAAGCCATTTGTGATCTATACCGATCATGCGTCATTGCGCACTGCGACACAGTCGCCTCATCTCTCACAGAGAATGGCTCGTTGGCTTTCCTTCTTTGCCTAATGTAACTTGGAGGTAAAGTACAAGCCAGGTAAGCAAAACGCTTTGGCTGATGCGCTATCGCGTCGACCTGACTTTGAGCTTGCTCATGTTACGACCCTGTCGTCGTCAGTCCCTGACTTAATTCGTGCGGCATATGCCAAGGACGATCAGTGTGTAGCTTTGCTACGTGCTCTTGGGAGCGATGAGTTTAAAGACTCGGACATAGAATTGTCGGCACGTTTACGTGCCAGGCTACATCGATTTTCCATCGATAATGGCCTGTTGTGCTATCGCACGGATATTGAGGACAACCCTCGTATCGTTGTACCTCATGATGAGGAATTAAAGTATCGGATCCTCTATGAGGCACATGATACTGCTTCAAGTGGTCATCTCGGTCGTGAGAAGACTTATAGCTCGGTGAGCCAAAGTTATTGTTGGCCCAAACTTTTTAAGTGGGTGCGCACCTATGTGCGTACGTGCGAAACGTGTCAACGGGTAAAACCCTCGGCACATGCGGCGGCGCCGCTGGCTAGTTTGTCGGTACCCAGTGGTTGTTGGGAGTCCATGAGCATGGATTTTGTGTTTGGCCTACCGAAAGGTTCGGAAGGCAACACTGGTATTGTGGTCTTTGTTATCCGATTGAGCAAGATGGCTCACTTAGCAGCTGTGCCGGATAGCAGTGATGCTGAAGGTACAGCAAATCTGTTTATCGACCGTGTCTTTCGCCAACATGGCTTGGCTGTGGCAATTATCTCTGATAGAGACCCCCGCTTCACTGGGAAGTTTTGTAAGTCTATCTTCAAGGTGCTTGGCACTCGGTTGGACATGTCCACAGCGGATCATCCGCAGACCGACGGTCAAATTGAGCGTGTGAACCGCGTCATCAACGACATTTTGCGCAGTGTTTGCGCTGATACGCCTAGGCGTTGGAGCTCAATGCTCCCTGTTGTTGAGATTGCGTTTAATAACGCTGTTCATGCCTCAACAGCCTTTACTCCGTTCTATTTAAACGGTCTCACTCACCCTCGCGTTCCATTAACGCTATCACTACGTGAATCAGGGCTTGGTATGGGAGAGGTTGCCGATCGGCTTGCTGATATCAGCCCTGCTACTGTTCAAAAACAGGTAAGCGAGTTTCTCGCAACGCGATTAAATGTCTTAAGACATGTGCGTGACGCAATGGCTGATAGCCAAGATACCCGAAAATAAGAAGCTGATGCCAAAGGCACAAATTGTATTTAACGTTATAAGGTCGGAGACCAATATCTACTCAATGCTAAAAATCTACCTACAAATATAGTGTCTGCTGTCTTTATAACTAAGTTGCGCTTACGCGTTGTTGGACCGTTTACGGTCACGGCCAAGAAGGGACTTGCGTATACGCTAAACCTCCCGCGCAAATTGCGCACACATCCAGTGTTCTACGTATGCTTACTTAAGCCGTACCGGGATCCTTCCCATGTGAACTTGGAAGCGCTTTCGCCGACGACAAGGGCACTGCCCCGGATTGCTGTAGACGATCTGCAAGTCCAACTGAGCCTCGCTCCGAGTTTGAGCTTGCTCCATCGCCTGAAGGCGGCTTTGCATCGCATCCAGCATGCACTGAGACTTACCCAAGGACTCTTGAAGACCCTTCACTTCGAGAACCAATTTCTCGTTGGCCTCCACCGGTACACCGGGCGCCACCGACTTTGCTCGATGAGCATGGGTGTCGTCAATTCCATGTCGAGAGACTACTGAAACGACGTCGTCGTCAGGGCCAATACCAGTATCTGGTAAAGTGGCGTGGGTACCCTGAGTCTGAAAACTCATGGGATTTGAAGAACCCCTTCGGCAAGACCGCCCATATGCTTTGGAGGCTTTTGAGCATCGTGGCCATGGTCATCTCGAGGCCGAGGCCGTTAACCACCACTAGTGGTGCGGGTTGGCGGGTTGTTCGTCACAGACTGACCAGCACTCGCGGCTACCTTAGTAGCCGAAGCATAGCGCGTGCGCTTGCGCAATTGGCCTCTGGCCTTAAGCTTGGCATCATCATACCGAAGCTTGCGTTCGAGACGCACATCCGCCGCATGGGCACTAGCTCTTAGAGCTAAAATGTTGCTGAGGCGACGCACATAGTGCATCCAGTGAACTAAGGCATCGTCTTCTTACTCGCTGTTTCGCCTGCGAGCAGGAGAATGGGTATACCCTTCATCGGTGGAACTGGTGCACCACGTGCTTGCATGTCAAGGGGTGCCTTGTATTGACTTTGAGTCGTTAGGTGCGGCTCCAGGTACCTCTCACGAAGTGCCTGGCAGCTCACCACCTCCTCAGGAGTCTTAGGCCCATGGCCAATGACCCACGTTGCCAATGTTTGGCCGGCCGCTTGACGCAGACGTTCCTCCACACTAGGTGGGGTGAACACATAATCACGCTGGCGTTCAAGGGTTGCAGTCATCTGTGCATAACGCTGAGCGTTTTCTTCTCTTTGAACAAGCAGTTCTTGTTGCTCATCGAGCGGGTTCGCGATGATAGTCTCATCAGAACCAGATGCTGCATGCTGCGCTGGCGGCGCGCTCGCATCTCCACGTTCAGCGAACGGATTTGGGATGTTCGAAGGTTGTGCCTCCGGCATCAGTGAGCCGGACGTTGTCCCTGTGTCACCGCGGACACTGTTATCGCTACCATAGTCCACCTCTTCCTCTAGTCTGAGGTAGTTACACAGAGCCTTTGACTCGTTTGGTGATGAGGACATCGTGCTGGAGCGTACGTTACCGTGAGGTTCACCGTACGCGCACTGTTCTCGCTGAGAACACGAGTTCGATTGACGTTTTGGCAAACGTCAGTCTGGTGGGGGAGGGTGCAACGGGGTTGCACGAAATTATGGTACTTTGTACCAGAGGTGTTACACACCTGAGGGTTCGCTTCTGTGAAGGTGATATAGAATATCTTATCGGTTTGTAGGGGCTGACGAGTGTCAGCCATTAGATACGAAAGATCTTTGAGTAGGATTAAGATATTCTATAGGCTTTAACAAAAATGAAATCAGTTCCCATTTTGATCTGAAAGACACGTGGCTTGCGAGCCGTCTTGATCGTTGATCTCTGATAACTAAGAGTTAGCGACACCTCCTTGAGGTAGCTACTCTTGAGCACTAAGTGCTGTCGATTCACTGAATCGTTAGGTCCCCTGGAACAGGGATCTGAAGCTACAAAGCTTGTTGACTCGTAAAGTCGTTAGTTCTTTCGAACTAAGTTGCTCGTAGAGCGTTAAGTCTTCCTCTGACTTAAGGAGCTGTGTAGCTCCGCTACATCATCGGTCATGTCAATCTTACACTACTCTCGATGGTCGCTCTTGACTGCATACCCATAGTGTTTGGGTCTTGCACTGTAACTGCATTTACCACATCGAATGGCTCAGCACGACTTGAAGTTGAAGTTCCGCTATCCTGTTTCTTGCTAGTCGACCTTGTGCCATGTCGTTTCTCTTGTCCATTCGGACCATCCTCCGTTACGGCTCCTGGTATTACGTTTTCATATACTTAATTGCACTTGAATATCCCGCTGACCATCGTTATAAATTTGCCCCTGAAGGTTGGCCGCTATAAAGTTTAATGTAGCTTCCGCCGGTCATTTGATGTTTAGCACATGTGCGTTGCCACAATAATCTTTTCCTTCGGGTTGAACACCTTGTACCCTTTCATCTCGTCCCTGTTGCCAATTGTAATGGCCGCCTTCCCGCGCTCTACAAGCGATTTGTTTTTGAAGTTGACGTGGACCGTGCATGCCGGACCAAACACAACGATGTCGTTTTGCATGGGTACCTTCTTTGTCAATAAATCCATGTGTGCCACCAGGATTCGACTTAGTTTGATTTCTGGTAAGAATAAAAGCCGTGTATTCAGCGGCATCCCCCCAGAAATATATTGGTAATTAAAAACAAACATCATGCTTTGTAACACATTTATGTTGGTACGATTCATTCGCTCAGCCTTGTCATTGCTGGCTTGTTTCCTAGCTCCACTCTCTTGACGTGATACTCCCGCAGTCTTGCAAAACACATGCAATGTCTTGTATTCGCCTCTACTGTCTGTGTGTAGGACGTGGATCTTGATATTAAACTCACGTTCAAAGCTTGCTTGGAAATGTTCAAACTTAAGTGCCACAACGTCTTTTGACTAGCCAAAAATACATGGCAATAATTCGAGCGATGATCAATTAAAAAGACCCGATAGAGACTTTCTAGACGAATTCGTGGGTTTATCGGAACTTTGAGGTCGGTAAAGATTACCCCACCTATTACATCGATTGATGAGAAATTCCCCGTGTCTTTCTTAGACTGCTTTCCCTTGACTTTTTTATCTTGAGCACACGCCATGCAATTCGAGCGTGTCTTGTCATTCAAATTTCTAGCAGAAGCGAAGTCTTTGACCACCTTGGTGATCGCTTCGAAACATAGATGTATCAGCCTGCGATTTAAATACATTTAGGTACCACTCTGAACATCCGAATTGGATTTAAATTCAGGTGAATTGAGTACAGCCAATATTGTCTCTTGTGATGCACTTGAGGTTGTGTTGTCACCGTCCATAACCTTGATAATTAATACGTTGTTGTAGCGGTCAACGTCCACAGCTGGTGCACCTCCGAACCCGAAGGTCAGCTCACGCCTCCCTCCTGGATATTCGAGTACGCATCCTTTATACTCGAGCTTACCAAAAGAAAAATTATTACGATCGAGGCTCGCGGCTTTCTGAACATTGAGGAGCCGTATTGTATTTACGACACCAACTGCAACAACTTTAATGTCTTCATTTCCTCTCACCGTCACACGTAGCGCACGTCCATCGGTGACCGCCGTCAAGTGTTCGCTATGACATTCTTTCGGACTTCCAGCAGACTTAGGTTGTTGACTAAATTCTGCTAGACCTACTTTTAAGATCCAATGGCTGTCTTGTAAACCAACACCATTACCTATTGCAAAGATGAAGTCTGTCTTTGAAGCCTTCTTAGTTAAAAAAGGGTACCTTGATCTAATTTGTACGAATTCGCCACGCTTGTAGCACGTTCACTTTTCACCTTTAGTGAAATTGTTATCGCCTTTGCCTTGATCTTGTCTTTCGGTTCTTTTCTTGGTTTGAAAGCATTATCCACATCCCACTCCAAGTTTTTTGCATAGGTGTCAATTTCGGTTGAGGGCGCTAATTGTGCTAACTTTTTAGCATGGCGTAAGAAATTGATGCGATACATGTTCAGCCTACAAACATAGATACACGCATATGCTGGTCCGCCTAGTGGACGATGTTGTCGAGTACCAGGCTGTCCTCTCCGCCGCACGCATCGCTTGCGGCCGTCAGACACAGGAAGTGGTCCATTTAGATAATGTGAATTTCCTTTAACGCCGTGAACAGCTTCATAATCTAAAAAGGTTAGATTTTGGTTTTAAAAGTCTGCAGCAACCTTTCAGACCATGCCCCATGGTTTAATTTTCAGACCACCGAGTTTCAAACTGCCGACGATAGTACGTCTGCGTCTTGCCGGCCAGGTATTTCCTCAAGACTTCGACCTTAGTATCCTCCGGCCATGCAAATTTACACGCACGCTTTGCAAACCCGACTTGGGGAACAAGTCTTTTGCCACATTAAAAGAATCTACTACCATGTACGTTATAGAGTCCTTTTTCGTCAAAGGGTTACAACGCCAGCTTTCGATGTTGCGCGTCCGGCATGTTTGCAACCTGCGGCCCAGGATAAATGTACATCTTGTTCGGCATGCCTCCACCAGGAATGAATCCCGATTGCACCTCCTGCCTGTGGTCCACAAGTTCAGAAATTGGTCCCATGTTGAAGTTTGCTTCAACATGACCCGCCGGTTTCCCTCCAACATTCGCTTGATTCAGGCGTCTTGCCCCAAAGTAAGTCGCTGGAGACACGTTTGAGGTTTTCTTGGGAGAATGGGTACGCTTCAAAGCCCGAAGACTCATCCCCGCTCCCACTACCAGGGCCGATCCCGAAGACTGACTCCGTGACCCCTTTTGGTCCTTGCTGACTTGCTCCTTCCGAATGAACTCCATCCTATTTATCCGATCGGATAGACCCCCGAGCATAGCCTGCATCTAGTACATCGCCCCTGCGGGCGCTACCGACTTTCTTTAAAACGTGGCTATCGATCTGAGCATGACCGTCGGTACAACGGCGGGTCCAGCTTGATCAGCTGCTTGGGCTTCGCGCTTGCTTGGTCTCACAACCTGTAGGTTCGTGATGCTTGGTTTACACTTGTGCAACGGTAGTTAGATGTAAAAGGAGAATCTGTATAGCAGTGATCATCTCCTGTTATTATTACTGCAAAATGCATTGCAACTGCACTGCAACTTGACCATGTACCTGCCTGATGGTGTCCGTCTTTCCCCCTTTTCTCGTATGTCAGTCACACGTTGAAAACGCATCGTCTTGTGCCAACCGTCATGTTGTCAGCTCGCTGTCCCATCTGTCAAGTCATCGCCCTGTCTCTTCCTGTCCCATCTGTCCGATCGTTTCCTCGTGATTCCACATGTCATCTGGTCTGACCTCGGCCAATCGGGTAAGACCTTCACACGGTATATGCCTTGAACCTGAAAACTGCCAGACGTGATAGTTACAAACACTCAACGTCGTTTGTCGCATCTGCCGCCTCTTTAATTACAGAAAAATCGGCAGCTTCAAATGTAACGAGGTAGTCCGTTTCATGAAATTTACACCTAACGGTGTCAACACGAATATTGTCTAGCATGACAATATTCTACCAATTTCATCCGAGATAAATAACATTGAAGGAGGGTTATCCCCTTTTGAATAATATTCATGCGCTGCTCAACAATTGGTTGATAAAAGACATACTAGCCATGGATTACCACCAAACGCTGCTAGACGCGCGCAACGAGTGGTGAGAAGGTTGTCGTCATACGATGGCGTAGTTTAACCTAGTTAGATAAAGATTAAAGTTACATTGATAGCATAACCGTATTAGAAACAGTTCTCTTTTTACCCTTTGCTCAGCACAGTCGTTGAGTAGAATAGCTTCCTCTGCACGTACCAGTGTACGTGACGTTTCGTAACACCCGGACAAGGGGTGCCCCGTTACACCTGGTAGCACTTCGTAGTCCGTCCAAATACTTAGTGTCCGCCAAACATGAACATGTTGGAAGTAGAAGACGACAGCTTTCACGTCACACGTGAAGGCCACTCCCATCGTCGTGACTCAGAATGGGAGATAGTCGGCCGCATGAGTGTGCTCATGGGCGAACCCGTCATCAGTGGTATGTTGGAGTCTCTTAACAGAGACCAGCAACATGCTGCTATCAACAAGTTCCGACACGGGGAACTTTCCGTCGAAAGAAAGAAAATAGCCTTGCTACAGCAGCTAGGCTCCTATAAGTCGATGGGTGGGCCGACGCACATGTGTCGACGCGAAACCTTGAAGATTGATATCTCAAGGTACAAGGGAACCGATGAAGATTCCTTTTTGAGATGGTTCGTCGAGTTTGACGATGCCTTCTGGGCCCGTCACATCGAGGGCGACGGCATGAAAGTCACCTTCGCCCTGTCAAATTTAACGGGACGAGCAAAGACTTGAGCCTGAGGGCTCAAGCTTCACGACCCAAACGTGTTTGAGTCGTTGGACCTATCAAAGTCTCGGCTTAAAGAGATGTTTGAGCCGCCGAAAGCCGAGTTTAGAGCACACTCTGCACTCTTTAGACTAAAACAAGGTAAGCGTGACGTGCATGCTCACTCACAGCACCTGCGCTACCTTGCGATTAGCTTCACAGAAAACCCTGTTGATGAGCACACACTCACCAACGTGTTCATCTATGGCCTTGTAGAAGGACCGGTGAAGACCTACATGTTCCGAGAGGACTTCCATACGCCAAAATAGGCGATAGCGTACGCGGAACAAGAATACTTCATCCTGAGACATTCTCAGGCTGACTCGACAAACTATCGTCCGACGAGACGACAGGAAAAAGGAAATCCCGAACCATTGGACATCTGTTATATCGAGAGCGAGAACTCTCGCTCTCTGAGTCACTAGCGGACGGCTAGATGCCATCGTTGTCAGAAGATTGGACACTATGCTCATGAGTGTAGTGTCCCAAGCACCGCAAAACGTCCAAAGACAGGACGTGATGAACGCTGTTGGCCAGGAAAGGTCCAAGGCGCGGGTCCGACAATGTCGCTAAGCCGCGACAGCAAGTCGGACCGCCAAAACGGACAGGGTCAGTAGGTTCGGAGCACTCTGCTGATCCAGCAACGTCAAGAGAATTTGCAGGACTCTTGACGAAGATTTCTCCCAGCACACAGTAGCTGTGTGTTACTGCCCTTAGTGATGAGGAGTCTCTCATCACTTTAAAGATTGAAGTAAGAAGTGGAATGTCACTTCGCGCCTTAGATGACCGTGGGGCGTCAAACAGTCATATTCGATGTCAGTCGCTAGGGGATAGTAGGCTCAACTATGGTGAGCGAGAGATCCCTCCAACGAGGATGACGGTGTGCCTTGCTACAGGTGCATCCGTAACAGTGAAAAAACGTGTAGTGGGAATCCACTACACACTAGAAGGAAAGCAGTACGATAATGAATGAATCGTACTGGATCTGGATAACAAATTTGATTCAATCCTTGGTATACCGTGGCTTATAAAATACCAGCCATGGATTAGCCGGTAGCATCGATCCGTGAAGATGCTTGCCTTTTTTTTTAATGGATGGGCGTCTGATGAACGTCTTGGAGCTTCCACAAGCTTGTAAATGTACAAAAAGTCAGTGCGGTGGCCTCACTTGTGGTACGGTCGTTAGTACAATTGAACAAGATCACAGTGTAGAAGGTCACTGCACTGTGGAACCAGCTTTCGGCACTTGTTTAGAGACACAGGCTGCGCCGAAGGTTTACCACTCGAAGAGATTGAGTGGACTGGAACACGGGTGCACACCAAGAAGGGTGCATCCCAGAAGATCTACCAGTGTTGTTCGGGATGAACAACACGCTGAAGCGAGATCGACTATCAGAGAGTCGATCGTAGAACAAGCCTGCTCGACTGAAAGAGAGTCTATCGAAGAGGACGTGACCGTGATAGTACACCCATAGTCAGTACACGTTTTGGAAGAAAGTTCCAGCTTTTCTGAGAGTTAGAACCGCCGAGAGAGATACGTTGAGGGTTTAGATACCCAACCACCTGTGGGTGTGTTTTACCAGAAAATTACCAAGACAGTGAATGTTTTGGTGAATGACGGATCAAGTGTAGGCGCTTATGCATTTGATCTGGTAACACCTCCTAAGTCAGCTTTGGAGGTAGTCAAGTTGCCAACGCTATAATCTAAAAGATTCTTGCGAGATCTGCGTAGCGACACGATCAAGCAGATCTTCGTACTCGTCACAGAGGGCGAGCTCGTCGCCGATATTCGGTCGGCAGGAGTGTTTGCTAAAAATGACCGGGTATTGAGGAACTCATCGATGGATGAGAGTGGCCTTGATGATAAGACTCGGTTTAAGCGATACACGTCTCAATCTTGAGGGTCTTTAAAGACAAATCCTTTGAGTAAGGATTTGCGTAAATTTAGGGAAGTTTTACCGGAATCAGTGCTATGCGAGCTGCCCAAGGACAAAGGCACTCGGCGTGAGATCGAGCTGAAATCTGGTTCGAAATACTGCGTCATGAAGCAGTGGCGACTGCCTTGTGAACAGGTCACAGCGATCGACATTTTCTTTGTCGATCGTTTAGCTGCGGGCCATGTGAGGATATCAACATCCCCACACAGCTTTCTGACCTTCTGTGTGCGAAAGGCCACAGAAGGGTGTTGGATCATGCACGCGTTCAACAAAATGAACACTGCAACGGTACCGGCTCAGCCGATCCCAAGAAAGGATGTCATCATAGATGGTATGGCAAATAGTACCATATTTTCATGTATGGATTTGATGAATGAATTCTATTAGATCCTCATGCGTGAACGGGATATGCCTGACACCGCATTGAGCACCCCAGTAGTGTGGTCTGGGAGTGGCTAGTGATGCCACAGGGGCTAAGTAACGCCCCTGCAACGTTCAACAGATGTATTACGAATCTGTTGCGACCAGTGCGAGATTCTGCACCGAGCTACTTTGACGATGTCTTCGTCCATAGTCGGTCTAGAATAGGAAGGCGGACGTGAGGGTAAATAGAATTCAGGTTTGGATGATTCTTACGCTAATGCGTGAGCACAACTGGTTCGTGAACCTCAAGAAGTAAATATTCGCAGCGAACGGACTACAACTTCTTGGCTGCATCGTGGGTAAAACGGTGTACGCCCTGATCCAGAGAAGATTAAGGCGATAAGCGACTGGCCTGTACCAGTCGACGTCAAGGGACTTCGGAAGTTCCTTGGCTGGGCGGCGTACTTGCACAAATACTCGCGCAACTACGCCAAGATAACCGTACATCTCTTTCGTCCGTTAAAGAGAAACGAGAGGTGGTCATGGAGCGCTGAGTGTCAGCACTCCTTTAAAGTTTTGAAAAAAGGCTGATACAATCGCCTGTGTTGGCGATTGCAGACCAGGACAGACCATTCCACGTGGTCTGTGACGCCAGCGATTTTTTCGATCGGCTGGGCGATAATGCAGTACGACTCAGGCGGCGTTGAGCGCGTCGCCTGTTAGCAATCGCGTCAGCTTCTAGTAGCTGAGCGCAATGATCCGGTGCGTGGCAAGGAACCCCTTGCCGTGAAATATGGACTGGCCAAGTTTCGGGTCTATCTCACAGGAGATAGGCCCTTCATCGTTTATGCCGACCATGCGTCGTTACGCACGGCCGTTAACATTTCTCACCTCTCGCAACGAATGGCGAGGTGGCTGTCTTTCTTCGCGGAGTAAACCTTCTCCGTCGAGTCTAATCAGGACGACTAATGTCGTCGCTGATGCTCTTTCACGTCGGCCCGATTTTGAGCCGACTGATCAACCTAACAGTCCGGGTGATCCCACTGTAGCAACACTAACAGTTAGTGTTCCGTCATCCAATCCACTCGGCGACGTGCAAAGAGCGTACGCAGGAGATGAGGCTCTTCTGCGATTGATTTATCACGTATCCAATCTGTGCAGTCAAGCTTTGAAGAGCTTGTCGTCTCAATACCGCTCTCCAACCGAACGGTGTTCTGTTCGTGATGGACTGCTGTACAATACAACAGTCAACGGCGACACACTTCGATTCATTTATCCCGCTCATAATAATTTGCGATTGCGCATCATGCATAAGTGTCACGATGCCCCAAAAAGCGATAGGGAAAAGACTTACTTAAAGGTGAGCCGTGAATTCTACTGGTCCCGCCAGTAAGAGTTTGTGCGCAAATGCGTTCGAGCTTCCGAAGTTTGTCAACTGGTGAAGCCTAGACCTTTATCCTGCGCATCCTTTCAGCCTCTTCCGATTCCTGCGGAGTGTTGAGAGTCCGTATGGATAGACTCCGTATTCGGTTTTCTTAAAGACGCTCGAAATAATACTGGTATTCTAGTGTTTGTTGAACGGTTCAGCAGGATGATACATCTTGTTGCTGTGCCGGATTCTATTACAGCCCAGAGCTGTGCTCGTGTCTTCATCTATGTAATCTTTCAACTTGTGGGTTACCCCGTGAACTCGTATCCGATAGGGACCCCCGCTTCAAACCGGAGTTCTGGCAATCCGTGTTCTGTTCACTTGAAACACGTTTGACGATGTCAACTTCTGACCATCCAGAAACAGATGGTCAGACGGAACGCGTCGACCGCGTCCTCGAAGATATGCTGCGAGGGTTTGTCCACCCGTTTACGAGCTGGATTGAATTTTTGCCGATGGCGAAATTCGCCATCAACAACTCGGTGCAAGCGTCGACAACACACACACCGTTCTTCGTGAATGGTCTACGCCATCCACGTTTACCCGCCTTCTTAGAGTGTGACTCTGGTTTAAAGGGGTGGTGGATTTGCTCGAACAAAAACCGATCTGGTTCTTGATCATCACTTGTCGACAATGGTGTTGACGTCATGGATGCCGATGTCGATGCGATAGATATCGATGATGATGATGACGACGATGCTGGTACATTCAGCATCGCCATTGACTGCCAAAGCGAGGACGATGACACCCTCACTATTGAAAATAACGTTCTTTCAGCAGTGCACACGAAGCGCACTGCTGTTGACAAGGATGAATCAGCAGAGGAATTTCTGCCGACTCGCGAAGCGGTTGTCTGCTTCGTTCAAGACTCTACTGCAGATGCACTAGACAGACAGAAACGAAATGCAGACAAGCATGGAAGAGCAAATGTTCTTTCATTTGATATAGAGGACATAGTTTTACCGTCTACAGTAAATCTACCGAAACACGCAGTGACAAACGTGAACAGCAGTAAACTACTGCCCAGGTACATCGGTCCATTTCGTGTGTTCCCCCGAATGATTCACGCATATAGTATCGAACTGCTTTGTAGGAAGTGTTCGCATCCTAGATGTTACGTTGACCGTCTCCGCCCGTACTATCAGTACGAGCCCGTTTCGAGAGGCAAAGAACATCTCCGCGGTCGAGAGCCGAGACCACCCTCAGGTGGTCCCGTTTAAACGAGCTAGTCTGTTCGACTAGCGAAGCGACCTGTTCACGCAGCTCAGCGATGTCTCCACGAGCAGCAGCCAGCTCACCACGAAGAAAACGAGTCGAACGTTCGCTCTCAAGTTGTGCTAGAGCAAACGCGGCACAATCTTTCGAACTATCGTGCGTTAGGGAATATTAATTATCCTTTACAAGATCCTGAAGCTCATAACGCCGATTCCGTTCATGAGCCAGATCATCTTGCAGCTGTTCCGTCACACGGTTCAGCTCTTGAACATTAAGCTGATCCAACCCTCAAACCGCATAAGGTGTTCCCGCCGCCACCACATCCTTTGGTAGACTCAGGCAGTGGTTAAAGCTTCCTAGTGGAGCGCATTTTCTACCACCGCGACGTACATGACGTCCGGAAGAGCTACCTCGTCCGCTGGCGTGGCTATCCACCGGCGCGGGACAGCTGGAAGCCTCTTGTCTAGCTGATTGTGGTTGTCCTGGTTCTCGTCGAGCAGTACGACGAGACCCACCCGCTGCATTCGAAGAATGTCCGTTGGAAAATGACCTCCCTGAACGCGAGTACAGGGATTACATGGTGTCAATCCCTTCGGTCATCTAGGAAGAGATACGCGCCCTCCAACAGGGATCATTAGGGATGAAAGCCTCCCTAGGGGCACGGTTCGAGTTGTCTAGGCAACCTGAAAACGATTTATCCCACGAGAGACAGGGTAACCCTGCCTCTTGAAAACCGGTGCAACTTGTTTCGCGCCCCGAATGGGCTGCGTTTCTCAAATCAGATGCGAGCTGCATCAAGTTTGGCGAGCCAGGCCTCACTGCCTATGCACTCGATGTTATGGATGAGGGCATTCCATCCTTGCACCAAGGCTTTGCCTCTCGAACACGGCTGCCATTGTACCACCGATGTTTAAAATATGCATCGGTGAAGAATTCTTCCTCAGCACGGATATTATGTGTGCTGGAATCAGGTGGGCAAATCTTCCCGCAATCGAACAACGGGATTCGATCCCGTTTAATAGTCAGGCCGACCAACCGGTCAAACTCTCTGGATGACGGCATCCACGGAGACTCCACCTGAGGAGCGTGGCGGAGGACATTTCGGTCCCTGGCCTTTCAATTGGTGCCGGCCGGAGCACTAACACCAGTCATACCCCGATCCCTCGAGTTACTTCACTCGTGGTGATGTATAGGTGCATCACCACCATCCCCAAGCGTCCTATCGTTGAATGGACTTGCGTGAGGGGAAATTTTCGTCGGAATTATCGCTTGATTCGAAGATCTCGGACGTGATGCCGCCACGTTCCGCAGAGCAAGTCAACCTGGCTCTTGCAGTGTCCGCCCCGGGTGATCCGGAGGCGCAAGGTGTCGCCTTCGGGTTGGATGCACCATCCGACTCGCCAGAATAGATGAGCTTTATCTCCGACTCAGTTTAATTACGACTCATGGTACTCGCAGCAGACGCAGCGGATGTACCTGTCGTACGTAGTGACTCACCATGTGGACGATTCACGACAACGGGTTACGAATTACCTGCTGCTGTGGTGTGAGAGGTACTCTGTCCGGCTGCACGCATGCGTTAGAACCGCCTACCTTGCTGCTGCAGTAGCAGCTCGCGTGGTTTTCGAAACCATGCGTTGGATGGCAAGTGAATGGAAATTAATAGACAAGTGCTCCCTTTCCCAGAGTAATCCAGCGGTGGTCACCCTGTCTCAATCATTTCTGATTCAATCAAGGGATGATTGATGGTTGAAGGGGAGTGATGTAACGGGGTAGCCCGTTGCATGAAATTGACACTTAACGGTGTCAACAGGAATTTGTCTAGCATGACAACATTTTACCAACACTATCCGAGAAAAATAACATTGAAGGAGTGTTATCCCCTTTGAATAATCCATGCGCTGCTCAACAATTGGTTGATAAAAGACATACTAACCAGGGATTACCACCAATCGCTTCTAGATGCGCGCAACGAGTGGTGAGCAGGTTGTCGTCACACGACGGCGCAGTTTAACATGTTTAGATAAAGACTAAAGTTACATTGATAGCATAACCATATTAAATACAGTTCTCTTTTTACCCTTTACTCAACATAGTCGTTCAAGCAAATTAGCTTCCTCTGCACGAACTAGTGTACGTGAAGTTTCGTAACACCAGGCAAAGGTTGCCTCGTTACACAAACAGTTTAGTTTTAGGCATTTTTTTTCAAGTATTGACCGAAAAATTTAAAGCAATCGTGGCCTAAAAATTTCAGCTCATCAGACTATCTCGCCGACCTGTCATGGCGGAAAATCGAAAGTCGCCTGTCGTCTAAGGCACACACCAAGTCCCTAGACCTTAAACGGACGCTAAAATGAAAACGTCGTCAAGAAAAACTTTCTGAAAATGCTTGGCCAGCCTGCTGTCGAACAAGGCACGCTTCCTGTCCGGAGTACTGACGCTAAGGCTCACCCTGTCAACGACGACAACGACTTGACCAGTGTAAATGGTGTCGTTAAAGCTTCTCCGACCGAACCATTTCCAGTACCCCTTCTTACGCACGAGGTGAGCAACTGGGATCGCATTAAGAAAGAAATCGATTTTGTAATTTATAATGCAGCCGCCAAACTTTCATCGGAAGAAGCTGGTCCATCCACTGAAATCCAGGCTGTTGCAAATGACTATGCAAATTCTCGCCTTTCCCCTGATGATTACGAAGAAGCTTTAAAGCGGTTCTGCCAGAATGCGAAAGTAACCCCGACCTCGCTATATATCTGTCGGTTCGTTCGCGCGCCAATGGCTCATACTTCACTGCCTACGCGTATATTGCTCTACAGACTTATGATTATAGAAAAAAGGGTACAATGATGATGATCTGCATGATGCAAGGCGTGCCGCGAGATGTTGGGCTCCTGAACTCGTCGAAAAGTATGTCATGAAACTGTCCGTTAAGGTTGATAAAACTATCACCGATGCGTTCAACCCTCTGTACCGTAGGATTAACAGTGTGAAGTACAGTCCGAAGACGTTAAGTGCAAGTTAAAACTGTCGTTTGGCTACCCCTTTATTTTGTTTATAGAATATGCCTTAATGAATGCCATTTATGTCATTGTGTGTTGTTCCTCACTCTTCGCTCCTATGATACTGTTTTAATGTGACACTTTATTAATGGTACGTTCGGGCTAAATGAACCACTATTGGGACACCACAAATGAACAATTGTAACTAGTAACTTTTGGTCTTGCCTATCCGAAGTAAACTATTTCTAAAGTTTTCTGAAGGTAGAAAAGAAAAGCATGGCTTCTTGAAACTGATACAATTCTTAGAAAATTATCTTTGCACATAACATTCACATGCATTAATTAGCATATAGGGATTCCAGGTTTAAAAACATACTACCTTAAAACAGATATAAACCTTTCAACTAAGTTTGTCGTCATGTCACTTTCACGATTATATAACAACGTGTAATGGCATATTCACTCGATTTCGTTTAATCATCTGTAAGCAATTTCAAAGTTCTATGATAACAGTAAAATGCATTTACTTGATATTTTGAGTTTATGGGCCGGCTGAATACAACTTAATGTGATAACAAACCGTGTCCGGAGCGATTCGCCGGTCACAGTGTCGAATAAACGAGATTTGCATACACTGTGCACACACCAAAACTCTAATCGACCGGTTGCTAACGTGGATTCCAGCATTAAGCTTCGCTTCAACCGAATCATCTGTGCACGACTTTTTATAGAATTGGCAAAAAAAAACTAATGATTAGCAGTACAACACGGGATGCCTAATCAACAAGTGTAGAGAGCTACTTAGAGCTCCTTAACGAAGAAAGTATTAGACTCAAAGAGTCTCTTAGTTACAACAAACTAACAGCGACGCACAGTCGTTCAAGCGTAAAAGCTTGACAATTCCCCTTTCAAAGGGATTACGATTCAAAGAATCACACAAAAACTAGTCACTACTAGTTAAACGAGAGTAAGCGCCTTTACAAGGCTAACCATCTTCGAGCACACTACGCCTTAACTAGGCACTTGTGTACAACAAATCTAACGAGAAAATGAACTTAATTTATTCTTTAACTACGGTCATAATTCCCTAAAACCTTGCCTGATCGACTTCTATGTTGTGATCGTGTGACATAATTCTAATCCCTTATCCTTACCCGATAAGGTGCGGTACGGCCGTGAGTAAATGGTACCAAGACTGTATCACTTAGATCCACCGATCTTTGCTTGGTGTAGACTCAAAACATAAACGGTTCAATAAATGCCGTGTAACCCCGTTAAATCGATCAATCGATTGACTTTAAAAATAAATTAACAAATGAGCAGTATGTCCGAACTATCCCCAAAGATTAACAGCAAAAAGGCAATTTACACCGTGCGGGACGGGCTATGAATGGATTAAGTGAGACTGGTGCTAAACAACAAGAGAAAATTAACACATGGATTATCGATAAAATATGAAGGCATCAAAATTAAGGCTCGCCTGAGTATATTTTGTAATGAAGCGGTGTTTCGAAAATTAGAAGTGATCGATGGGTTTACCGATCAAATGGGACGACCGAATTTCGAAAAGGATTGATTGGCTGTCAAGACGCACAAATTTTGAGTCCGAATATCAAGATACCGAGATCCATTTTAAAGACACCGGGATCAAGAATATGTCGGTTGGTCAAGGTCGACATTATGATCAGAGGTCGAGGGTGATCGACGAGCGTTCTAAGGTGATCGACGATCAGGGAGATCGATGAATCATCAGGATTGGACCACATACGCGAAGAAGCGGCTAACGGAATGCGGAAGATATGTGGCAGCATACCCTTGTGAACCGACAACCACACTAGTAGTTTAACCTTTGGTTGTCAAAATTTTAAAAAATAGATTACCTTTGCTTCTAAGTTCACGTGTCGAATTCTATTTCGGACTGATACACTGGCGTCTTGAGGTGAAGAAATTCTCTCAACCTCAAATCAATTGATATCCCCAGATAGGTGGTTAGGGAGCAGGAATTCTCATCTCATCCAAATTGAACAGGAAGAAGCAAGAACGCAAAGGACGAGGCTCAAGATCGCGACACGTCTCAAGTGGTTAGAAGTCTCGATTATGAAACATCCACACAGTGGACAAGGCGAACTCGTTGTGATCTAGGTGGCTTACATAATGTATTTTACCAGTTTACCCGTGATCATGTAAGAATTTACGCACGATGCAAAACACACCCCGACACGGACAAGTTTAACCACGACACGAGTCCATCACGAAAAGCGCATCCTTACCTACCGACGTGTTCAATAGATAGAAAATAAATGCACCGGAAAAGATTTTCCTTTTATGAATATCCGTCAGTACACCAGTGGAGAGTTGGGATTGCCTCCCTAAAGTGAGCTATCGCCTCTTCCTAACAATGAAACCTGTGCTATGATCTTCTTTAGACTTGGTACTGCCCGTAAGTTTCGTGTATTGAAGACTTTAAAGCACAGACGAAACCTGGGATGAAGCTTTAAAGGCAGATGGATTGCCGCCGACCCCTGATCTTATAGGATTTACAATATTTGAGTTTGGGGGGACGGATGACATAAAAAAAAGGGAATATTCGATCTGGAAGGAAAATCTTGACCTCTCCTGAGGTTTCTTCGGAGACCACCGCGTATCGTGCCGCAAACCACGACCTCATCGGTGGAAACCCTTCATAAATAAACCAAACAATATCACTTGCGAAAACGCAAACAAAGTCAAAGACGAAGAACTATAAGACAGCTCGAGTAGAGAAAGAAGCGCTCAGATCGAATTAAAATGATCAAAGCATCGAGTTGGTTAATCAACTGATTGAGTTGGTGGAAGGTATCATAAATTGGCGAGGGGATACCACTAGAAGATTAATCATAATCTTTCATTGTGTAACCCAGTAATCCAGATTCTAAAGCTTGGGCTAATAGGAAGGCTTTATAATCCGATAAATCGACCGGCGGCAACGTCTTACATGCTGGACGAGATCAATCGGATCATACATCTGCTACATGACGCTAGTTTTGTTGCTGGAGAATTTGTCGCTAGCAAAATGCTAAAGTGCGAACAAAATTAAGTAACCCACGCTCATCGATCAATGTGCGACACATTAATTTCTATTAACGGGTCTGTGTGATCAAACGGTTCAAGCGGGCGTAGCGAAAGTAGACGCTCCGAGCGGATATTACACTAGATCGTCGCAGCATGCGTCAGCCCATTTTGGAATTTAGTCGAATGATTCGATCGCTGTATAGCGAATGTCTCTAGGCCCTAATGGGGAGAAACATCTGTGCGATCGCATTTAAACGATCAATATCAGACAATGATCGATGAAGGCACGTGCTTTAGTGGGAAATAATTTGACTAAGCCAGGACGCCTGCAGGACGTACCTCGGAATGGCTATCGAACG